CAGTAAGCGTGTTCAATACTTTTTCCCTGTCATTCCATTTTATTGCATATAACTTCATTTTTGAACTTATTTGTTTGGTTCTTTGTATGTATGGATTAGTTGGGTTGTTACCGACATCTGGTGAAAAGTTCATGTCAACAGCACCTTCAGAAATATATTTACTGAGAAAAATGGTGACGTGTACAATACTTATTTTACCCGCTGTATATATCAATTTACATTTAAAAATAAACAACTGATAAGTAAAGACTAATTTTCATCTTTCACAAATGTCTCATGTAAATATACAAGAAAATAATTTTTAAAAAAAATACAAGTTAAAGCAAAAATATATATATATTTTTTTTTTTTTTAAATAAATTGTACCAATATTTCAGAGTTTTGAACAAAGCTTCCCAATGAAATAAAACACAAATAAATCTGTCCTTTACTTATACACAATCTTTGAATTTGATTCCATGGTCACCTCCTGCATCGGGTCTAAACCGAACTCCTTTTCAACCACAATTGCATCCAATTACAGAAGCAAGAGTCACTTTATATACTATTTTACTCACTATAACTATAACATACATATATATATATATATATATATATATATATATATATATATACATATACACACATATACACACATACATACATACATATATATAATTTCCTCTGCATTCAAACGTCATCTCCAAGAAAAATTGAAATATATGACATGGTGATATTAGCTTGATGGAGCTTGATAGTTACCATGTGGAATTTGTTGTAGACGTCAGTGAGTCCATCCTTGACAATGAGGTCTTCCATCCTCACTCCTCCGTATGTCGGGGTATCTCTGGACATCACATAAGGTACGTTGGACATGCTCTCCATGCCTCCTGCCACCATCACGTCCTTAAATCACACAGACAGCCACACGCTTATATGCAGCAACATCTACAGTCTATTGGTATTAGAAGTTCACTTCCACAGGATTTGTTAATTACAGAAACTCTGTCAAAGAACTGAAAGATGTGTAGTCTATGATGACCATACTGTAACAATGTGCAAACAAAACTTGTTTTTGGTCACAACAAAGTTTTCCTGGATCTTGCCAGGGATCAGATTCGTGTTTTTATTTGCACTCGAGCGAGCAGAAGAGAGAGCGTATTCAATGCTAATGCTACCTGGTGTCCACACATTAGACTCTGAGCTGCCATCATGATGGACTTCATTCCGGAGGCACAGACTTTGTTGATGGTGGTTGCTGGAGTGCCGAGGGTCAAGCCTAAAGATACAACCAGACATATTTGAATCGGCAAAAAATAAATAGATAAAACTTATATTATCTTGACCTTCACTCAGTTATGCATTTGCACAGGGGAACTGCATATTTGACAACGGTGTTATAATATTTCAGAGTAAACCGTCAATCATGCAGTAATGTTTCTAATATGTAGGTCACGTTAGCTTCCAACCTTCCTGTAACCTCTTATATGGTCTCTCTAAGCTGCTGGAGATAGACCTTGCGTCACCTTGGAGCTGCACGCTTTGTGTTTTCATATATCACAGCCTCGGTCATGCATGAATGAAGTGCAGCTTTCAGGTTATGAATGTAAATTAGCTGCTCACAGATAAGGCTGGGAGATATGGTCACAATCTTCTTTCCCGATATAGGTAATTTCATATCTAGACAACAATATACATCATGATGAGAATCTTTGGAATGAAGGTGACAATATACTGGTAGAGTCATACCTGCTCCAAGCAAGGCTTGTCTTGTGGGGGCCTGGCCTTCTCCTGCCTGAAGCACGTTGCCCATGTAGACTTCCTTCACCTCCTCAGGAGCGATTCCTACACACCAGGAACATAAAGTCAACTCACTAAATATACACAGAGCTATCTTCTCTTTGATGCAGCACTCCACCTACTCATGTATACAGGTGATCTGCTACATCTGGTGTATTAGCTCAGCTATGCATGCACACACACATCACTGAACACGATCAGCTGACATTACATCAAGGCCTAAATGAAAGCGAACAGTTTTCTCAGAACAAAGTGAACCAAGCAACCAACTCACCTGCTTTGTCTATGGCTCCCTTAATGGCGATGGAGCCCAGTCTGGTGGCTGGCACCGCTGCCAGGCTGCCTCTGAAGGACCCCATTGGAGTGCGGACTGCACTGACGATGACAACTTCCTGAAACCAGGCATTATTAAGTCTGCACTATAAGTGTGCAGTCCTAACATTTAATTGTGATGAGGTTATAAAAGTTACCGTACTCACATTGAGCGAAGGGCGAGACGTGTAGGTTCTTGAGAGGTACCTGTGAGCCTACAATGGCAGGACAAAGATGGGGATAAAGCATCTATCTCATCGTCACACGTTCCAGTAAAGTCTGCTGTTCAACCTGAAGCGCCTTGATATCATTCTGGGCCAAATTCAGTTTTAACTCAAGCAAGTAACGTGAGAGAAGCGTCAGAAATAGGTTAGCTATGCTAATAACAAGGGCGCACACAAACAGCTGGCGTTAGCAGAGTAAACACAGTACAAGTGATATTTAAGGTAACGTTAGGTGTCGTGTCGGTCAAACCTGTACCCGTCACCCGTTAAAAAGACTCTCGTTTGGGCTTCGGATATAGTCAGTTAAGCTAGCTACTATTGTTGCTTTACTTGTTGATATCTTTAGTTTGTAGAGAAGCAGACTTCGTAACACCGTTGAGAAAAGCTGTGACATTAGAACAGTAAAGCGCTCGAGACACTTTGAGTTCTCAGGTGTGTTCAAGCTGTTTAATTACTTTGGTCAAGGACGACACAAAAAGGTTAGCTGAGCTGTTGTAAGTGAACCACCGGGGCCTGGTGTTTCCAGACAGACCGTCATTACAGCATTCCTCTGCAGTATAACAGACGAACCCAAACGAATATTTTTTACACGCTTTCACTTACCAGGCGTTTACAAAATTGCGTGCGCATGGTTAAAAGTCCACTGGATGACATTCTGGACTGTGAGATTCACACACTTGCACCTACTTCACCTTCAAGCATACAGCAGGAGGGTTACACCGCTTCAGCCAATCACAGTAGGAGGTGTGTTTCCCCGACGTCATCGTTGGCTAGGCATTGTGGTTGATGTAGTTCTTCCACAATGACATCCCACAATACATGATGTGGTGTAATTAATTACATTATTTCAGCATTAACGGTCCGTGTACGTCTTGATAGTCTGTTTGACCGTTTAATCGAAAAAACGACAATACAGACATACCATATTTTTTTCGTTTTAAACCAAAAACGGAGAAGCACAGCCATATTTCAGTTTTTGTTGTCTAAATACAAAAACGAAAGAACCAAAGTCAAATAACGAGTCGATTTTGTTTTTTGCGAATCTCTTTAAAAAGAGACGCAAAGCACGACAGGTAACCCGGAAGTAAGACTATTTCAAAATAATAGTCAAGGCAATAGAATGATCGTATGCAAGACATTCTTATATAGTCTATGATGCAAGCACATACCAGGATAACATTAGAAGAAAATAATGAATATAAATAAATAAATCTGCTCCGATGGGAGTATGTTAGCAACATTAGTTGACGACAGATGGTTTAATATTAATTTATCCATGTATAGAGCAAAAATCCACTTTTCGACAAATGATTAATGAAACATGGAGAGCACAGCTACTCTCACATTTCTAAAACGTCTCACATTGTTTTATAGTAATCAAATTATTGTTGTTTAGCGCTGTTACCTGTTTTTAAGCCATATGTCTATTTCTGTGCATGTACATTGAGATAAGTCATATTTATTGTATGTGGACACACTCTGATTATATAATTAACAATATATTAATTGGGGTAGTTTGCTGTTCCTGTAACACTGAGCAACAGGGCCATCGGGTTCCCCAGGTTACATGTCGGTCACTAACAAATGTACACCAGCAGGTTAGCTAAGAGCAGCAGCTCACATTTACTTCTATATGATCCAATGACATCTGCACATGTCTAGATTAGCAAAGAAAGACAATCTTTGGTATTTTCTAGTTCTGTATGTCAAGCACAAGTTTAATACTTCCCTAAAAGCAGAAACCTTCAGAATAGTTGCAGCTTCCTGGTCCTGTTGCTGTTCATACCAGTCTGCAGCCACTGATGCATCAAGCAAAAGGTCTGTGGACAGTTTTTTTGGGCATCCCTCTTTGGCCAAGTAACCATCCCCTTCCCTATAATAAGGTTTTAATCTTTAATAATGGTTTTCTCTTTGAAATAAAATTGTTCTAATTCTGTGCATTCCAGAAGCTGACCTAAAATCTGTCTTCGAGGTGGAACTAAAATGAACACCATCAGTGATAACTTAAGTTTGACTATTTTCAAAATAGTAACAAATGTGATGGTCTGCGTCCCCCTGGAGCTCCAGAGATTAATCTGAGGGGTCACGAGACGGGTAACATGGTGGCAAAGAAGAAAAGAGAACCAATGAATCTGGTTTTTGCTCTTGTCTTGTGAGATTAGGAAACAAATTGAAAATATTGTAGAGTCAAACTTTCTGTATCTCAATGGTAATAAAACTGAAGTCATTATATTTGGACCACAGCATTTGACCAACATTATATCTTCTCATCTTGACCCTTTGACCTCTTCTGTTGAACCATTCAATTCAGGATTTAAGTGTGACAAATAAATCAACGAGATAGTATAATTATGTATAATGTTTAATAAGAATAAACAAAACATCTCTTTATTTTACAACTGTCATTATTTATTGCCTCGTGATCAACACATGCTCACTCCTCTGTGTAGGTATGTTTAGTTCTTAAATGACATAAATAAGTAAATACATGATGCATACAACTAGGAGGTTGCAAATTAACCATAAACATCAAATATCATGTTAAATAATCAGCATCAATACATCTGTATCAATAACCTAGATCATCAATAAAGGCACAGGTATACATTTTTGGTAGAACAAGCCTAACTTCTTTATATTTAAATCTCAGATTGTGAATATAAATTATTGTATCATGCAATCTGCTGACATTATGAAAAACATCAACTGTGCATGACTGTGGATGATAGTAAACTCATAATGAGCACACAGATGTTTAAAGATACGAGATCAAGTGTTGATCTTCATTGAAATAAGGTTTGAGGTAAATTGTACAGACGCTGATCAGCCTTCAACGTTGCAGCTGCAGCTTTTGTTTTCATCACTATTCCGCTTTATCACCATAATGACGTCACGTTTGTAAAAGCCCAAACCTTCCTGAATGAATAGCGTTCTCGCCGGGTGCCGATGGCGCGCGCCTGTTATCCAAGTTACCGAGAGGCTGAGGCTGGAGGATCGTTTGAGCTCAGGAGCTCTGAGCTGCAGTGGACTATGAAGATCGGGTGTCCGCACTAAGTCCGGTATCGATACGGTGCTCCTGGGGCAGCCCGGGGACCACCAGGTCGTAAGGAGGGGTGCACCGGCCCAGGTCGGAGACGGAGCAGGTCAAAGCCCCCGTGCCGCTCAGTAGTGGGATCGCGCCTGTGAATAGATGCTGTAGTGCAGCGGGACCCAGTCTTTTTACACTCTGTCTACTGTTCAACAAACAGCTGATACAAGTATACGTGTTATGCTGGTTTAATCCCTCTGCCCTCCCTGTCCATGGTGCGATTGGTTA